GAGAGAGAGAGAGAGTGTGTGTGTGTGTGTGTGAGAGAGAGAGAGAGTGTGTGTGTGTGTGAGTGTGAGTGTTGTGATGTGATCTGAAAAGTGAACGAATCAGTCTCTTTGCATTAGACAAAATCACATGCAGTGCAGCTTCTCGTGTTTTGAGGATTATTAGATATATTAAGTTAATAAACAGGATTTTTGTTGGACTCTTGTAATTTAACTTCCAGAGTTTGGGGTGGCAGAAGAGGGAAACCTGTTTGGAAACACTCATCATTATACAGAGAAATGACCCACAGGTTTAACATGTTTAACTTGTTACTGAAAAAGACAAGCGCTTCTTTGAGCATCATGTCTCGCAGTGTAGATGCTGTGCTTTGGAAGCGTCTGACGGAGGTTTTAGGTGCATGTGTGTGGTGGCCATCGCTCTGTGTTTGAGCCGGTGTGGTTTGTTTGTTCATTAGAGTTCTTCATCACTCACACTCTTAAACATGGCCTGAACCCAGAGCCGTTACTCTCTCCGTGCCGGGCCTCACGCTGATGTTTGCTCACGCTCCAGCGTTTGTCAGAAAGAGTCGCTTTAGCTTGGCGCTAGCAGTGCATTCCAGCGTTACAGTGCCTGACCTCCATCCGTCTCCTGAACTCAGCCACATCTCCCACACACTCACATAATCAACCAGCCTGTGTGTGTGTGTGTGAGTGTGTGTTTGCTCTCACCAGCAGAAGTCTGTAGTCTCCAGAAGTGTTTTGCATTGTGATAACTCACAGAATAAAGTCTCATTAGTCTGCCTACGATGTAAAGCATCTCTAAACTCGTTCCCTCGACTCATTCATCACCCGTGACAGCCAGAAAACATCTTCCCAATCTGCGCTTTCTTCGGATTTTACGTAATAAACAACGTAAACTGCACGATTAATCGGAATAAAATGATTGAATAAACAAAATCAATTGTTTGAAAAGTTCAGTGGTTTAACATTTTAAAATGAAGCAATCAAGACGGCCATAAACAGTATAAATATTATTATATTATTTTCCTTAAATATTAGAATTGTTTATTTTACCGTAATATATTACTATAAAAATATTTGAAATATTAGTTTTATTTAGTAATAATAATAATAACAATAATAATAATAATAATAGACCTAAATAAAAATATAGAAATTACATTTAAATTATAATAAAATAAAATATTATTATAATTATTTTACATATAAAATAAAAATTTAACATTATATTTAAATTATAATAAAAATTAATAATAATACTGATAAGAAGAAGAAGAAGAATTGTTTTCTTGCAGCACTAATGTGTTGTTTGTGTCCAGCTGGTAAATCACTTCTGATGTTGTTTATGCATTTATAAACCTGTCAGTTTTCTGATTAGAAAATAAACTCAACTAGATACAGTAACATTTAACATTGATAAGTCTGTTTATTTTTCTGTCATAACCGGTTATCTGGACCGTGTTGTTGTTGTCAGCTCTGCTGTGTGCGCTCTCATTCTCTGGTTTAGAAGCAGAGTGTCTCTGAGATAATGGAAGGTTAATTTACTGAGATCTGCAGCTTTATCAGACGCAGTGTCTGTGTGATTCAACAGATCCTCAGCGTGAGACACAGACGGATGCGAATCAGTTATGCTTAAAGATTCATTTGGACATGACAGAGTTTCAGTGATGAAGTCGAGAGCTGTTCAGACTGATTCAGTCGAGTCTGAGACTGATTTTAGAATTATTTTGACTGATTCATTCAAAAGATCAGGCTAAGAGTAATTTGCGTATGAATCAGACACTGTGTGTTTGTTCCAAGCAGCAGGACAATGCAATATAAAGACATGTTGTCTATTTGCTAAAGCATGACGCTTGCAACACCAAGGTCATAGGTTCAGAGAAAAGCATCAGAGTGAATGGATTGTCTTTCTCTCTGGTTGCGTTTTATTTTTCTGTCATAACCGGTTATCTGGACCGTGTTGTTGTTGTCAGCTCTGCTGTGTGCGCTCTCATTCTCTGGTTTAGAAGCAGAGTGTCTCTGAGATAATGGAAGGTTAATTTACTGAGATCTGCAGCTTTATCAGACGCAGTGTCTGTGTGATTCAACAGATCCTCAGCGTGAGACACAGACGGATGCGAATCAGTTATGCTTAAAGATTCATTTGGACATGACAGAGTTTCAGTGATGAAGTCGAGAGCTGTTCAGACTGATTCAGTCGAGTCTGAGACTGATTTTAGAATTATTTTGACTGATTCATTCAAAAGATCAGGCTAAGAGTAATTTGCGTATGAATCA